TGAGGCATTTATGATATATTAGGTAAACAAGCTAAAAATATTTTATTTATTTATTGCCTTTTCTCTGACCTATAATTAGTATCTTAAAATGACACACTGGATCACATTGCTCACCATTCATTAGTAAATTATAGTTATTACTCATTGGTGGTTATTAATTTGTAGTTACAGCAGCAGAGCTATGCTCATAGTGTACCATCTTGTGTTTAATATATCTTACTATTTTTAAAAATCCAGCGGTTGTAGCTTTTACTGCGTCCTCTTGTAACTTGTTCTTTTATTCTGGTATCCTTTAAAAATTTGTTTTAACAAATCATAAAACAGGTGGGGGTTTGAACCATGGCAAGTGAGTCCTGAAACTCTCAGACTAGTGCATTAACCTCTCGGCTGAGCGGTTAACACACTGGTCGTTGAGTTTCACGACTCACTTGTCATGGGGTCGAGCTCCACCCGTTCCCTGATTTGTCTGCAATTGTATTATTACAGTTTTGTGAGTCATTCTTTTAACTGATTGTAATTGTGGATTTTAACCTCAATAGTAATGGTAAACAAATGGCCAGCTAAATTTCTCAACATATTAAAAAAGTGACCTACATGATAGAAGGCAATTCTCTATCATTACGATTCCTAGTACAGTGGGCCCTTGGCTAATGCCTTTAATCCGTTCCAGAGAGCTAGCCTTTAACCAATTTAGCCTTTAACCGAATTAATTTTCCGCATAAGAAATAATGGAAATCCAATTAATCCATTCCAGACACCCAAAAGTATTAAACAAAATCATTTTTTTACGTGAAATATACATTTCCCTACACAGAAAACAATGATACATGAAGAATAAAACAACAATAACATCACACTTACCTTTATTGTGGACCTGTTGATGAGTGATGAGACAGGAGGAGGGCAGAGGATGAAGGTGTTCTATTGTTTGGAAGGGGAATCCCCTTCCATAAAGATTTCAGTAACAAGTCCTTTTCTGGCTTGTGTCCTGGGAGTGCTTTTCCTCCTGAGTAATGTAGGTCCTGTTTGGCATTTTCTTCCTAAACAGGCCTGTTTCATCACAATTGAACACTTGTTGGGATTTTAATTTTTCAGCCTCTATGTACCCCTTAAAGTCCTGCACATATTTTTCAGCCACTTTTTTTGTCAGAACTGGCAGCCTTACCATGCCTTATCATACCATACCACCATCACAACCACTACCACCCTCTACCACCATTGCTACCACCCTCTACCACCACCCTCTACCACCATCACAATTGCTACCACCCTCTACCAAAAACACTACCACCCTCTACCAAAAACACTACCACCCTCTACCACCAACACTTTCGTATTTTTCTACAAACTTTTTCTTAAATTATATGTGTTTCTCACATTCTTTACCATAGGGCTGGCACTTGAAGCTTTCTTGGGGCCCATGGTGGCTTATTTAGCAGTTACAAGCACCAGAAGCAATGGAATAATACAAAATATATCGTATGTACATGCAGAATCGTCCTCACTGGCTTTGTAAACAGTGGCACACTGGCTGGTACACAGTGAGTGGCCGGGCCCTCTCAGGGCGCCATGCCGACACGTTTGAGACGAAAACTCTTAACTGAGTTTTTAGGTGTTAGCCAAATCAATTTTTTATGCCGAAGCAAGGCGTTAACCGATTTTGGCATTATCCAATGCAGGTGTTAGCCGAGGGTCCGCTGTATATTACTAGAAAAGAAAACGATATTATTAATCCAAATTATCTCAACTCATTTTGAAAGATTAGCCATTTTCTACCAGAAATAACAAGTGCTGCTGAATATAACTGGGAGAAGAAGGAATAAGACAAAGATGAAAGACTAGATTACAATACGTAATGTCAGTGAAACTGCTGATCTGAGGCATTTTTTCAGATTAATAAAATAGAATTAATTATTTTAAGGGACAAAAATAAGCTATACAGGGAGTTCTGCAACGTATGTGTAAACAGAATTAAGTAGTTTATTTCAGAAAGTGGAAACAGATGAGACGTTAAAAACTTGCTAGAGATTTAAAAAAAAAGTCAGAAAGGAACATACAAATGCAAATTTATTAAGAATAAATAACCTTTGAAAAAGTAAAATGGAAAGGAACAAGACAAAAGCAAATCTTTTATTGAAGTTTGTAAAAAATGGAAAATAAATGTGATATAACATAAAGAATTAAGGGGAATGATAAACACCAGAGTAGAGGCAGAGATGTGTGAGTTGCTAAATATGAAATTCCTGAGTGCATTTGCAGGAGTGCACTTTGGATGTGCTGTGGATGTAGTGAATATTTGCAGTTTTGAACTGTAGTATCAACACCTTTTCAGCAAGACAGTGACAGAGTGAGTGATGGTAAAACCGTTTCTTCTTTTTTGAGTTACCCGCCTCGGTGGGATACGGCCGACATGTTAAAAAAAAAATTCATTGAAATAAATGCCACAAATACAGTATCTAAGAAAAGGAAGGTATAGAAGTTACTATAAGACATGTCAAGAAAAAGACAAAATGATCAGACAATGGAATGGGTCTTAGAAGAATATACAGAAGAATTAAACTGACCACTTTGAACTAAGTATGTATAAATGCCATCCTGCTGATATTTAGACAAGGTTGACAGAGATAACCCTTTGGATTGCTGTATAGGCCTGTATCAGAAAAGCAGTGTAGAAACATTGAAAATGTCATTAGAGAGAAATGTATAATACACACAGAGAGCAAAAGTCCACTAAAAAGCAGACTGCTAAGTTTTTGGTTGGCAAATTTGTCATACTCATTCTTCAAGGGGGTGACATAATGCTGTTGAAGGTCTACTCATTCAAGAAACTGGGGTTGTCTTTCCCTTCCTTGGATCAAACCTTATTGCTGTATGACTCTTACAGCTGTTAGCACGTCTCTATGTACATATAAAAATATAATAAAACTGACTGGAAATCCATACAAGACGGCTCATATATGCTAAGCAGATAGGAAAAGATGATTGAATTTATTGCAGCTGAGTTCTGTGTTTAGTAATGGAAATGGAAAAAAGGTAATAGCAGTCACATGAAGAATATAGATTGTGACAGAAAATAATTAAAGCATTAGGGAAGGGAGATCCAGAAATCATTGACAAAAATTCTCTGAAGGATAATATCAATAAAATCAAAATACTTTTACGTTGTACTAGTAAACTCTAAAATAGTCTTCAGATACATGGATGAGGAAATGCTAAAAAAAAAAAAGAAACCTGTTCACAATAGATGTTTCTTAGGCCAAAATTGAAATATGCAGTGGTATTTGCACCTATTTAATATATTAAAATAAAAATTAAGTCCAAAAAGAAGCTATCGAAGGACTCCCAGATCTCAAAAAAAAAAAAATGAGGTATGAAGGAAGACTGAAAGAAAATATTTTCATTGGCTGCTTGATAAAAAGAGATGTAAAGACTAGAAATATAGCATCATGAGATAGGTAGATTGGTGCCCACATATAGTGCTTTATTCAGATGCTCTCTTTACAAAAGTTTGACACTGAATATTTTAGTGACTGCCTAAGTTTGATAACCAAATTAATCGAATAACTTAATTTTTTTCTTTAGAATTATCAAACTTATCGTGTACACCACTGCTCTGAAAACTATGCAAGTTCAGTATGTATATTCACTGTGCTGTTTTGTATTTTAAGTTTATATCTAATGTGCACATTTAGGATGCTCAGGTATACACCATATGCACAGTGTGTGGCCAGTAGAGAGCATTTTTTAATATCTAAAACGTGAAGATTTTCCAAATGCTTTGTCGATATTGTTACCCACCCATTAAAGAAATAAGAACTTGTACTATTTGCTAGATTTTTATGGAACATTATGTATCATATCTTTTCATCATATTTCAGAATCATAAAATATATTATAATGAAAGTTTATGTAGTAATATCTAAATACAGCAAATGAAGATGAAGCTTCAGTAATTATAAGACATAAATACTACAACTAAAGATGAGCTTCAGTAATTATGAGATGTAAATCCTGACTAAAATTATTTTTATTTACATTCTGGCAAATCTAAATGATAATTTTCCTTGACATTACTTATCTGTATTGAATAATATAGTTTATAATTTATATCAGCTTTTTGTACTCTATATTCTCATAGTACAAACTTATTCTATAATTTAGAATGTCAACTAGGAAGATGCCTCTACCTGTATTCAACAGATATAAGGAAAATTTGAAAGAGAAAATTGAATATCGGCTTAGAAATTACACATTCTTATTAATTACATTTCCATGTCTGAACAAAAATTAGTATGTACAAAAATGTTGTAAAAGTGTTTACTCTTTGATGGTCATCAGGCAGAAGTATTGATATAGTGTATGTCATAAGCAGACTCATTGAAAAATGGCACTTGCTTTCCTTTCAAAAACAAATTTCATTCCACTGTTATAAATTTAATTTTTTACATTGCATTTATTGACAGTAAGATTGCAGTAAGCCTCTTTGCCTTTATCATAAATTGCAAATAACTCAGTATTTCTTGGGCTTATAGTAATAACCATTTTTTAATTACATCTTGTTTTTTAGCAAGGGTTGCCAAAAAAAATCATTTTCTTCAGGGAGAATGAATATGGCATCCAATTTGTTAAATTTGCACAAAACTTCATTTAGCAACATAGGATAGCCTTGATAAAAATTCTAGCATAAAGGTGTCTAACATAGGTCAGCTCAGCTTTGTGATATGCTGAATGGTTTTTTCATAGTTAAAATTAATATGTTTTTGGGGGCAATCTATCTTTGCTAAGTTGGCAAGTTCTGGCTAAAAGGCATGACAATTATGATATAATAGTAATATGTAATATTTACAGTTCTGTATTTAGAAATATGATATAGATATTTTTAGATTCCTTATTTTAGCATAGTAAAATTCATCTAAAGAACATTCTGATTGTGAGCTAATGTATTAGTCTGGAAGAATGTTACTTGTCAATATATAATGGAGTGTTTGTGTCATATGCAGATGTGCTACAGGGGAAGCCTGGCAGAGTATTATGTTGTCGTGCATCAAGGATAAGCCGTGTGATTATGCCGCACTCAAGAATGATCCAAACAAAACGTGTGGCTCTAATATAGCTTATGTCTACTTTGTCTCTTTCATTTTCCTCTGTTCTTTTTTGGTAAGTAGACGAAACTCAAGCTTTGACTAGTAAGTCTCTTTTTAAATCATTTTAATGGTTCGTTATTCTTTATAATGTATAATTTGTTGGTAGAAAGACAGGTGGTGCAGAGCAGAGATTTATTCAAGTCAATGCTTTGTTTATAACAAAACTTTGATTTGCGCCACATGTCTTTCTACCAAACTTGTCAGTGATACCTACTATTCTGTTTATGATTTAATAAAGACAGTTATTGTCTTCCTGGCTATAATTGAATGTTGCTCCTTGGTAAACACAGGTGGGTTATGTTAGATTGGGTTACATTAAGTTATACTCTTAATATTTTAGGTTAGGTTAGAGTTGTTTTTCTTAAAAAAAAAATTAAAAAAAAAAAACAATAATTTTTATATGTTCACTATCAAAAAAATACACTTTAGAACGATATGCACTATATAATACTATCTGTAATGTAAAACCCACTCAACATTGTACCTTTTAAATATATCTCATCACCAAAATCCACTGAGGAGAAACATTCAGTTATTACCATTTATCCTATTGCAAGTTATACGTCTAATTTTCATAATTTTGCGACTACTGTCATTCACATTTGAACCTTTCAAGGGGATGATGTCTTAATTCTGGTGAAGGGCTCTTGATCCATGGAGTTAGAGGTGCTCTAACTCCCCAGAGACTGGGAAATGGGAAACAGTCAGGTTTAGCCCCTCCCCATGAAATATGTACATAGTGATACACATTTCTAGCTGTTAATAAACTAAGATCAGTACTTAAAATATTTCTTGGTGATTGTGTTTTTTTTTTAATAAATGTAAAAAATTTTATTATTTTAATTTGTAGACACTGTGTTCAAAATGTATGTGAGTATCACAAATGTTATTATAAAGAAAAATAAGAGCATGGGACATTAGCAAAAAATTAACACATTGGCCATTTATCAGCTATAGAAGGATGTGACCCAAAGAAGGAACTCACAGTTGTTAATATATTCCCAATATTTTAACAGAGAAAAAAACATTAAAAAAGCATTAACTTTTGTTAGTGCTGTTTAGGAAATCCAGTTGATCTGATGCTAATTGATGTAGCTGGGATAACTCACACTATTAACAAGCTGTTGTTATCAGCCATTATTTGTTATACTGTAGATAGAGAGTAAATATGATTTGTGCAGTAGTGATAATTACATAACCCTTAAACGGTCCAAAGAGATCGATGTTCAAATTCGTTGTGCTACAAAAGTAGATATATTTTTTTTTACATATTTTCAAATATAACAAAAAAAATGTAGATAAAAGTTTTTTTACACGTTTTCAAATGTAAAACAAAAAAGAAGATTACAGTTTTTTACATACTTTCAGATGTTGAAAAAACGTATATATACGTTTGGACCATTTAAGGGTTAATATTATATACATTGTTACCATTATTAATATAAAACATACATGGAAAGAAACCTTTTTCAAAGGAGAACAGACATGTTAAATCTTTAGGCTGTCTACAAAAAAGGCCAAGCTACCTAAAAGTGTTCTTCAGGTCCTTAATTAATATAATGTTAGTAGTATATGTGTAGAGCCATCAATTATTATTGCTAATATATTGTCTCCTGGCAGATGTTGAATCTTTTTGTTGCTGTCATCATGGACAATTTTGATTACCTGACTAGAGACTCATCCATCCTTGGTGCCCATCATCTTGATGAGTTCATCAGAATATGGGCTGAATATGACCCTAATGCAACGTAAGTTATTTGTTTACTTTATTTAGCAAGCACCAATGTCATCTTCAAATGCCTTCTGTATGTCTCTACCCTTGCTATATTTTACTTTTTCATAAGCCAGGTACTTCAGGCCAAGACTCTTCTCATTACAGATCTCTTGCTCTTACTAGCAATTTGTAGAATGGTTAACAAGCATTAAGTTTGTATGGTACTTGGAAGCTCAAAACTCTTTCTCCCATCATCAATTTGAGCATCAAAACATTCCATTCTTCCTTGATGAAAAAGGACCTAATTACATCATCCATCACAATAAAAGGAAGTGTGTACACAAATGAGTCTTTAACAAATATATGCTAGAACTGTTTTTTTATGGGTTAAGAAAACTCCACTAAGAACATGAGGACAACATTTGTCCATGGAGGTATGATCATAGTTAACCCTTTGACTGTCGCGGCCGTATATATACGTCTTATGTCCTGGTGTCGCAAAATTTAAAAAAAAAAAAAAAAAAATTTTCTTATGAAATGATAGAGAATCTTTTCCCGATTGTAATGACACCAAAAAAAACGAAATTTGATGGAAAACTGACGGAATTATGCTCTCGCGAAGTAGCAACCTCGGCCATTTACAATCGGCGATTTCGCCGCTTTGGCCCTAATTTTGGGTAATTCCATTGTTCCAGTCGCCCAAAATCATAGCTATTCGTTAACTCCATTTTTTTCAATCGATTGAGTACAAGAAACTGCCCATTACCGATTTCAACTACCTAATAATGTGGTCAGAAATTTGCAATTTGGCCATTCCGAAACAAAAAATAGGACAATTTCAAAATAAGGTCCAGAATGAACATGCCAGACATTCCTGTCTAAAATAACATTTTCTTTGCTTTATCATCGTGTTCCAGGCCCCTCTGATATTATCTGCTTTTATTTTGAATTTTTATTCAAACAAAAAATTGAAGATTATTATTATGCAGACTTTCTGCAATACTGTAATAATTGTATAAATAACATCAACCATTCATGACTGCTTATTAGAATGGCTAGTTTGGATTTATGGAAAATGGCATCATTTGCTTATTTTGAACATTGGCAAAATCAACATTCCCCTACTTTGAGCTCCCCTTCTAGGTTCTTTTTATAGTAAATCAATCAAAATCATCTCTATTTCTATTATGTTTCCATTTATCAAATGAGACCAAGAAAACGAGAATACAACCATAATACTTTCGAAATAGACCACAAAGTCGGCATTTTAATTAAAAAAAAAGGTCGGAGTTTTTTTTTCTCATTATGCACTGCGTGCTCCAGGATTTTTTTTATATGGTGCACACTGACCACACAGACCCATTCTCTCACATGTGGGCCTACCAGCTTTCTCCTGCTTGATTTGAAGCCGCTAGAATTTATGAGTATATATACGTCAAACACGGTACCTCGTAAAACGTATATATACGGCCGCGACAGTCAAAGGGTTAAGAAATCAGGTCACATGGATCAATAACAAATGTACACAAACTAGCTAAATTCTTTAGCAATGCAGGTCTGTGTGAGACTGTATAATGCACTCAGCTCACACGCTGAGGTCCTGTATTTGATGCTCCAGACTGGCTGGAAAACATTAGCATGTGTTTCCATAAGACACCTGCTGTCTGTGTTCGCCTATCAGTAAAAAATGGGTACCTGGGTGTTAGTCAACTGGTGAGGTCACATACTGGGATAAAATTCACCTAATTTGTTCAAAATGCTCTGCATAAACAGGGGGTCTTTATACAGTAGTATGTCGGCTAGGCCTGTATACCTTGTACATGTACTTTTAAAAATAAAGATATATTATTATTATTATTATTATTATTATTATTATTATTATTATTATTATTATTATTATTATTATACTTATCCACTAAAGTTCACATACAGTGCTATGTACTCTCTACTTAACCCGTAAATGGTCCAAACGTATATATATGTTCACTACCGTACTGCCCCAACTTTTTTGAGAAAAAAACATTGTTGCTTTTTAATAGGAAAAAAGAGCATATGGTACCCAGGCATCCCCAATTATTTTAATATGGTGCACAGTGAGTGCTCACACCCATTCTCACATGTCTAGGCGACTCAGGCTTATCGTGGCAATGTTAAATGTAGGACACATAAAACGTATATATACGTTTGGGGCACTAGTGGTAAAAATGTATATATACGTTTGGACCGTTTACAGGTTAATTTGTTGTACCATTAGACTTTGTGCATTTAACCCTTTCAGGGTCCGTCCCGTAGATCTACGGCCTAACATTCAGGGTCCAAACCGTACATCTACGCCATGAGCTCAGCTCACTCTGATAAGCTGTGAGTGGTAAATTTGGGCCTAGATATGAGAGAGTACATCTATGTGGTAATGTGTGCACTACATAAAACAAATCCTGCAGCACACAGTGTATAATGAAAGAAAAAACTGAGACCGTGATTTTCGATTAAAACAGCGACTTTGCAGCGTTTTTTCTTATGTTTTTTATAGTTTTATTTGAGATTTCTTGGTCTCATTTGATAGAATGGAAGATATATTACAGAAATAGAGATGATTTTGATTGGTTTTATTACTGGAAATGGCTTGAAACTGAGCTCAAAGTAGCGGAAATGTTAAATTTTTGTCAATGTTCAAGAGTAAACAAACGACCTCACACGTCTAATACATGCCAGCTGGTGGGTTTAATATACATTCACAAATGTGATAATAATATTTATACAATTATTACAATATTGCATAACAGTAAATGTTCTATTTTTTGGTTTGAATAAAAATTCATTATGGAATTCATTTGTAAAAGCTGAAAACATAACCAATGAGCAGAGGAAATGTTAGTTTAGTGCCAGGAATACCTGCATTGTTTATTCTGGACCCTATTTTGAAACAGGAATATTTTGAACTTTGTGTTAAATTGGCCAAATTACCAATTTCCGATCACTTTATTTTGTAGTTGAAACAGTTGACTGGATGATGTCTTGTGCTCAATCGATATAATAGAAGTAATACTAGTGAAATAGCTAAGAATTTGGTCGACTGGAATAATGTAATTTGCCTAAAATCGGAGTCAACATCGGCAAATTCGCCAATTCGTAAATATCGCTGACACATCAAAATTTGCGAGAGCATAATTTCGTCAATTTTCCATCAAATTTCGTACTTTTTGTTTTATTACCTTCAGAAAAAGATTCTCTACCATTTCATAAGAAAAAATAACAATTTTTTTTTTTTTTAAATTCTTGGACACTGGTGCACCCTTTGAAATTTGGCCTCTGGACCCTGAAAGGGGTTAACAGTGCAAATTCTACCTTAGTTTTTATATTACAGTGTAGTAGTTGATTATACAGCCTCTCCTCACTTGCTGACAGAATTCCATTCCTAAGACCATGCCAGTAAATGAATTCATCGCTACTTGAAGAACCACCCCTTACTGATACTTCAAAAATGTCACCACTTGAAATTAAAACATTCAGTTTTGTGTTTGCTGTGAAAATCCTTTCAATCCGTTCATTATTAATGGTAATACAACATGAAATAGATCAATAACTTACTTGGGGAAAAGAAAAATTTGAGAAAATCACACTTTTCTCAGTCTTTCCATAGGATAAGAGTGATCTTTTATAGTTAACCTTCAGGCACATAATGCATGACATTTTCTGTAATGGTCACGGTCACTTCTTTTTTTTTTTTATCCCTCCCTCTCACCCTCAGTGCCGCCCACCCTTCGATACCACTCCATATAGTTTATTTTTTTTATTAACACATTGGCCATCTCCCACCAAGGCAGGGTGGCCCAAAAAAGAAAAACTTTCATTATCATTCACTCTATCACTGTCTTGCCAGAGGCATTCTTACACTACAGTTATAAAACTGCAACTTTAGCATCCCTCTTTCAGAGTGCAGACACTGTACTTCCCATCTCCAGGACTGAAGTCTGGCCTGCCGGTTTCCCTGAATTCCTTCATAAACATTACCCTACTCACTCCAACAGCATGTCAAGTCCTAAAAACCATTTGTCTCCATTCACTCCTATTTAACATGCTCACACATGCTTGCTGGAAGTCCAAACCCCTCGCACACAAAACCTCCTTTACCCCCTCCCTCCCTCCAACTTTTTTTTAAGCCGACCTCTACCACGCCTTCCCTCCACTACGGATTTATACACTTTCAAAATCATTCTATTTTGTTTTATCCTCTCTACATGTCTAAACCACCTCAACAACCCTTCCTCAGCCCTCTGGATAATAGTTTTTGCAATCCCGCACCTCCTCCTAATTTCCAAACTACAAATTCTCTGCATTATATTCACACACACACATTGCCCTCAGACACAACATCTCCACTGCCTCCAGCCTTCTCCTTGTTGCAACATTCACCACCAATGCTTCACATCCATATAAGAGCGTTGGTATAACTATACTCTCATACATTCCCCTCTTTGTTGCCATGGACAAAGTTCTTTGTCTCTACAGACTCCTCAGTGCACCACTCACCTTTTACCCCTTGCCAGTTTTGTGATTCAACTCATCTTTCATAAACCCATCTGCTGACACGTCCACTCCCAGATATCTGAATACATTCACCTCCTTCATACTCTCTCCCTCCAACCTGATATCCAGTCTTTCGTTACCTAATTTTTTTGTTTCCTCGTCACCTTACTCTTTCCTATATTCACTTTCAGTTTTCTTCTTTTACATACCCTGCCAGACTTATTATTATTACCATAGACATACCTTATTCACTGAGTTTAATCATTTCTTAAGCTGCCACGAAAGACACAGAGAATGTAAACACACAGACGAGCACACTGGCTGACCCCTTTACTGTGAACTTCTTTTGTACCTCTTCCTTTTTCCTCTTTGTTTTTCCTCTTCCAAAAGTTGCTGCACTTCTAACAATCTTGTAGTATAGGGTGCACAATGAAGTACAAATTTATAAATGAAATATGTAGTCTTGGAGATTGCCTGATGCTGACATGCATCACTAACCTCTTTACA